AGAACAAAGTTTGAGATAAGGTTGAGGATATTGCTAATTTCAAATGTGAGAAAGAATGGGAGGTTGTGAGAATATTGATAATTAAAAAGGAAGAGAAAAGAAAGAACAAAGAAATGGAGGATATTGCTAATTTCAAAAGAAAGAAAAATGAGAATATTGAAAAGGAAGAGGAAAAGAAAGAACAAGAGTTTGAGATGGGGTAAGGGGTGAGAATATTGATAATTTAAAATGGAAGAAGGAAAAAGGTGGAGAAAGAACAAAGAAGAGGGAAAAGAATGGTTTGAAGGGTAAGGGTTGAGGATATTGCTAATTTCAAATGTGAGAAAGAATGGAGAAAGCAAAGGTGGAGAATATTGATTATTTAAAAGAAGAGGAAAAGAAAGAACAAAAGAGTTTGAGATGGGTAAGGGTTGGAGGATATTGCTAATTTCAAATGTGAGAAAGAATGGAGAAATCAAGGTGTGAGAATATTGATAATTTAAAAAGGAAGAGGAAAAGAAAAGAACAAAGAGTTTGAGATGGGTAAGGGTTGGAGGATATTATTTCAAAATGTGAGAGAATTGGAGAAAAATGAGAATAGAAAAAAATGGAAAAGAAATCAAAAGGTTGAGATGGTAAGAGGATATTGCTAATTTAAATTGAGAAAAAAGAAAGCAAAGAGAATATTGATTATTTAAAAGGAAAGGAAAAGAAAGAACAAAGAGTTTGAGATGGGTAAGGAGGATATTTAATTTGAGAGAATGGAGAAATCAAGGTGTGAGAATATTGATAATTTAAAAGGAAGAGGAAAAGAAAGAACAAAGAGTTTGAGATGGGTAAGGGTTGAGGATATTCTTAAATGTGTGAGAAAGAAATGGAGAAAGCAAAGGTGTGAGAATATTGATTATTTGAACAAAGAGTTTGAGATGGGGTTGGAGGATATTGATCAAATTGAAAGAATGGAAAATCAAGGGGTGGAAAAGGAAAAGGAAAAGAACAAAGAGTTTGAGATGGGTAAGGGTTGGAGGATATTGCTAATTTCAAATGTGAGAAAGAATGAGAAATCAAGGGGTGAGAATATTGATAATTTAAAAAGGAAGAGGAAAAGAAAGAACAAAGAGTTTGAGATGGGTAAGGGTTGGAGGATATTGCAAATTTCAAATGTGAGAGAAAGAATGAGAAATCAAGGGTGTGAGAATATTGATAATTTGGAGAAAAAAGTGTGAGAAGAGGAAAAGAAAGAACAAAGAGTTTGAGATGGGTAAGGGTTGGAGGATATTGCTAATTTAAATGTGAGAAAAGAATGGAGAAATCAAGGTGTGAGAATATTGATAATTTAAAAGAGAAGAGGAAAAGAAAAGAACAAAAGAGTTTGAGATGGGTAAGGGTTGGAGGATATTGCTAATTTCAAATGTGAGAAAGAATGGAGAAATCAAGGGTGTGAGAATATTGATAATTTAAAAAAGGAAGAGGAAAAGAAAGAACAAAGAGTTTTGAGATGGGTAAGGAATGGAGAGGATATTGATTTAAAAGGAAGAGGAAAAGAAAGAACAAAGAGTTTGAATGTGAGAAAGAATGAAAAAATGAAGGTGAGAATATTGATAATTTAAAAGGAAGAGGAAAAGAAAAAAAAGAGTTTGAGATGGGTAAGGGTTGGAGGATATTACTAATTTAAAATGTGAGAAAGAATGGAGAAAGCAAAGGTGTGAGAATATTGATAATTTAAAAAGGAAGAGGAAAAGAAAGAAACAAAGAGTTTGAGATGGGTAAGGGTTGGAGGATATTGCTAATTTCAAATGTGAGAAAGAATGAGAAATCAAGGGTGTGAGAATATTGATAATTTAAAAGGAAGAGGAAAAGAAAGAACAAAGAGTTTGAGATGGGAAAGGAACAAATGTGAGAAAGAATGGAGAAAGCAAAGGTGTGATAATATTGATTATTTAAAAGGAAGAGGAAAAGAAAGAACAAAGAGTTTGAGATGGGTAAGGGGAGGATATTGCTAATTTCAAATGTGAGAAAAGAATGGAGAAAGCAAGGGTGTGAGAATATTGATAATTTAAAAGGAAGAGGAAAAGAAAGAACAAAGAGTTTGAGATGGGTTTGGGAGGATTGATAATTTCAAATGAGAAAGAATGGAGAAAGCAAAGTTGGAGGATATTGATAATTTAAAAAGGAAAGGAAAAGAAAGAACAAAGAGTTTGAGATGGGTAAGGGTTGGAGGATATTGCTAATTCACGAGAAAGAATGAGAAAAATGTGAGAAAGAATGGAGAAAGAACAAAGGTGTGAGAATATTATCATTTAAAAAAGAAGAGGAAAAGAAAGAAACAAAGAGTTGAGATATTGATAAATTGAGAAAGAATGGAAGCAAAGGTGTGAGAATATTGATAATTTAAAAAAAGAGAAAGAAAGAACAAAAGAGTTTGAGATGGGTAAGGGTTGAGGATATTGCCAATTTCAAAATGTGAGAAAGAATGAGAAAGCAAGGTTGTGAGAATATTGATAATTTAAAAGGAAGAGGAAAGAAAGAACAAAGAGTTTGAGATGGGTAAGGGAGAGGATATTGCTAATTAATTTAAGAAAGAATGAGAAAAAGGTGTGAGAATAATAATTTAAAAAGGAAGAGGAAAAGAAAGAAACAAAGAGTTTGAGATGGGTAAGGGTTGGAGGATATTGCTAATTTCAAATGTGAGAAAGAATGGAGAAATCAAGGTGTGAGAATATTGATAATTTAAAAGGAAGAGGAAAAGAAAAGAACAAAGAGTTTGAGATGGGTAAGGGTTGGAGGATATTGCTAATTTCAAATGTGAGAAAGAATGGAGAAAGCAAAGGAGAATATTGTGAGAATATTGATAATTTAAAAAGAAATCAAAGATTATTTAAAAAGAAGAAAAGAAAAGAACAAAAGAGTTTGAGATGGGTAAGGGTTGAGGATGTTAATCAAATGTGAGAAAGAATGGAGAAATCAAGGTGTGAGAATATTGATAATTTAAAAGGAAGAGGAAAAGAAAGAACAAAGAGTTTGAGATGGTAAGGGTTGGAGGATATTGCTAATTTCAAATGTGAGAAAGAATGAGAAATGTGAGAATTTAAAAGGAAGAGGAAAAGAAAGAACAAAGAGTTTGAGATGAGGGTTAATTTGAGAAAGAATGGAAATCAAAGGTGAGAATATTGATAATTTAAAAAGGAAGAGGAAAAGAAAGAACAAAGAGTTTGAGATGGGTAAGAGGTTCAAATGTGAGAAAGAATGAGAAATCAAGGTGAGAATATTGATAATTTAAAAGGAAGAGGAAAAGAAAGAACAAAGAGTTTGAGAAAGAATGGGAGGAAAATCAAATGAGAAAGAATGGAGAAAGCAAAGGTGTGTGAGAATATTGATAATTTAAAAGGAAGAGGAAAAGAAAGAACAAAGAGTTTGAGATGGGTAAGGGTTGGAGGATAGTAAATTGAGAAAGAATGGAGAAATGAAGGGTTGAGAGGATAATTAAAAGGAAGAGGAAAAGAAAGAACAAAGAGTTTGAATGGGTAAGGGTTGAGGATAAATTTCAATGTGAGAAAGAATGGAGAAAGGTGTGAGAATATTGATTATTTAAAAGGAAGAGGAAAAGAAAGAACAAAAGAGTTTGAGATGGGTAAGGGTTGGAGGATATTGCTAATTTCAAATGTGAGAAAGAATGAGAAAGGAAAAAGGGTGTGAGAATATTGATAATTTAAAAGGAAGAGGAAAAGAAAAGAACAAAGAGTTTGAGATGGGTAAGGGTTGGAGGATATTACTAATTTCAAATGTGAAAAGAAAAAGAATGGAGAAAGAAAAAAAAAGGAAGAGGAAAAGAAAGAACAAAAGAGTTTGAGATGGGTAAGGGTTGGAGGATATTGCTAATTTCAAATGTGAGAAAGAATGGTGAAATCAAGGTGTGAGAATATTGATAATTTAAAAAGGAAGAGGAAAGAAAGAACAAAGAGTTTGAGATGGGTAAGGGTTGGAGGATAAAATTTCAAATTTCAAGGTGTGAGAAATGTAAGAAAGAATGGAAAAGAAAGAACAATGGGTGTGAGAATATTGAGAATTTAAAAGGAAGAGGAAAAGAAAGAACAAAGAGTTTGAGATGGAAAAGGGTTGGAGGATATTGCTAATTTCAAATGTGAGAAAGAATGGAGAAATCAAAGGGGTGTGAGAATATTGATAATTTAAAAGAAGAGGAAAAAGAAAGAACAAAAGAGTTTGAGATGGGTAAGGGTTGGAGGATATTGCTAATTCAAATGTGAGAAAGAATGAGAAATCAAGGGTGGAGAATATTGATAATTTAAAAGGAAGAGGAAAAGAAAGAACAAAGAGTTTGAGATGGGTAAGGGTTGGAGGATATTGCTAATTTCAAATGTGAGAAAGAATGGAGAAATCAAGGGTGTGAGAATATTGATAATTTAAAAAGGAAGAGGAAAAGAAAAAGAAAAGAGTTTGAGATGGGTAAGGGTTGGAGGATATTGCTAATTTCAAATGTGAGAAAGAATGGAGAAATCAAGGGGTGAGAATATTGATAATTTAAAAAGGAAGAGGAAAAGAAAAGAACAAAGAGTTTGAGATGGGTAAGGTGAGGTTGGAGGATATTGGGTTGAATTTCAAATGTCAAAATGAAAGAATGGAGAAATCAAGGGTGTGAGAATATTGATAAGGAAAAAAGGAAGAGGAAAAGAAAGAACAAAGAGTTTGAGATGGGTAAGGGTTGGAGGATATTGCTAATTTCAAATGTGAGAAAGAATGGAGAAAGCAAGGGTGTGAGAATATTGATAATTTAAAAAGGAAGAGGAAAAGAAAGAACAAAGAGTTTGAGATGGGAAAAGGGTTGGAGGATATTGCTAATTTCAAATGTGAGAAAGAATGGAGAAAGCAAAGGTGGAGAATATTGATAATTTAAAAAGGAAGAGGAAAAGAAAGAACAAAGAGTTTGAGATGGAAAAAGGGTTGGAGGATATTAATTTCAAATGTGAGAAAGAATGGAGAAAGCAAAGGTGTGAGAATATTGATTATTTAAAAGGAAGAGGAAAAAAGAACAAAGAGTTTGAATGGGGTATGGTTGGAAAGAGTTTGAAAGAATGGGAAAGGGTTGGAGAATATTGATAAAAAAGAAAGAAATGGGTGAGGAAAAAGAATGGAGAAATCAAGGGTGTGAGAATATTGATAAAAAAAAAGGAAGAGGAAAAGAAAGAACAAAGAGTTTGAGATGGGTAAGGGTTGGAGGATATTGCTAAAAATGTGAGAAAGAATGGAGAAAAAAGGTGTGAGAATATTGATAATTTAAAAGGAAGAGGAAAAGAAAGAACAAAGAGTTTGAGATGGGTAAGGGTTGAGGATAATCCAAATGTGAGAAAGAATGGAGAAATCAAGGGTGTGAGAATATTGATACTAAAAAAGGAAGAGGAAAAGAAAGAACAAAGAGTTTGAGATGGGTAAGGGTTGGAGGATATTACTAATTTCAAATGTGAGAAAGAATGAGAAATCAAAAAGGTGTGAGAATATTGATAATTTAAAAAGGAAGAGAAAAGAAAGAACAAAAGAGTTTGAGATGGGTAAGGGTTGGAGGATATTGCTAATTTCAAATGTGAGAAAGAATGGAGAAAAAAGGTGTGAGAATATTGATAATTTAAAAAGGAAGAGGAAAAGAAAGAACAAAGAGTTTGAGATGGGTAAGGGTTGGAGGATATTGCTAATTTAAAATGTGAGAAAGAATGGAGAAGGAAAGGTGTGAGAATATTGATAATTTAAAAAGGAAGAGGAAAAGAAAGAACAAAGAGTTTGAGATGGGTAAGGGTTGGAGGATATTGCTAATTTCAAATGTGAGAAAGAATGGAGAAAGCAAAGGTGTGAGAATATTGATAATTTAAAAAGGAAGAGGAAAAGAAAGAACAAAGAGTTTGAGATGGGTAAGGGTTGGAGGATATTGCTAATTTCAAATGTGAGAAAGAATGGAGAAATCAAGGGTGTGAGAATATTGATAATTTAAAAAAGGAAGAGGAAAAAAAGAACAAAAGATTTGAGATGGGTAAGGGTTGGAGGATAGTTTGTGAGAAAGAATGGAGAAAGCAAAGGTTGGAGAATATTGGAAAAAAGGAAGAGGAAAAAGAAAGAACAAAATGAGATGGGTAAAAGGATATTACACTTCAAATGTGAGAAAGAATGGAGAAAAAGGGTGAGAATAATTTAAAAAGGAAGAGGAAAAGAAAGAACAAAGAGTTTGAGATGGGTAAGGGTTGGAGGATATTGCTAGGAAAAAATGTGAGAAAGAATGGAGAAATCAAGGGTGTGAGAATATTGATAAAAAAAAGGAAGAGGAAAAAAAGAACAAAGAGTTTGAGATGGGTAAGGGTTGGAGGATATTACAATTTCAAATGTGAGAAAAGAATGGAGAAATCAAAGGTGTGAGAATATTGATAATTTAAAAAGGAAGAGGAAAAGAAAGAACAAAAGTTTGAGATGGGTAAGGGTTGGAGGATATTGCTAATTTCAAATGTGAGAAAGAATGGAGAAATCAAAAAAAGGTGAGAATATTGATAATTTAAAAGGAAGAGGAAAAGAAAGAACAAAAGTTTGAGATGGAAAAGGGTTGGAGGAATTCTAAAAATGAGAAAGAATGGAGAAATGAAGGGTGTGAGAATATTGATAATTTAAAAGGAAGAGGAAAAGAAAGAAACAAAGAGTTTGAGATGGGTAAGGGTTGGAGGATATTGCTAATTTCAAATGTGAGAAAGAATGGAGAAAGCAAAGGGTGGAGAATATTGATAATTTAAAAAGGAAGAGGAAAAGAAAGAACAAAGAGTTTGAGATGGGTAAGGGTTGGAGGACATTGCTAATTTCAAATGTGAGAAAGAATGGAGAAAATCAAATGTGAGAAATTGATAAGGAAAAAGGAAGAGGAAAAGAAAGAACAAAAAAGTTTGAGATGGGAAAGGGTTGAGGATATTGCTAATTTCAAATGTGAGAAAGAATGGAGAAATCAAAGGTGTGAGAATATTGATAATTTAAAAGGAAGAGGAAAAAAAAGAACAAAGAGTTTGAGAGGTAAGGGTTGGAGGATATTGCTAATTTTCAAATGAAAGAAAGAATGGAGAAAGGAAAGAGAATATTGTGAGAAATTGATAGGAAAAAAGGAAGAGGAAAAGAAAGAACAAAGAGTTTGAGATGGGTAATTATTTGGAGGAAAAGAAAGAACAAAATTTCAAATGTGGAAAGAATGGAGAAAGAGAAGGGGTGTGAGAATATTGATAATTTAAAAGGAAGAGGAAAAGAAAGAACAAAAGAGTTTGAGATGGGTAAGGGTTGGAGGATATTGCTAATTTCAAATGTGAGAAAGAATGGAGAAAGCAAAGGTGTGAGAATATTGATAATTTAAAAGGAAGAGGAAAGAAAGAACAAAGAGTTTGAGATGGGTAGGGTTGGAGGATATTACTAATTTCAAATGTGAGAAAGAATGGAGAAATCAAGGTGTGAGAATATTGATAATTTAAAAGGAAGAGGAAAAGAAAGAACAAAAGAGTTTTTGAGATGGAGGGCTAATTTTCAAATGTAAGGTTGTGAGAATATTGATAATTTAAAAAGGAAGAAAAAGAAAAGAACAAAGAGTTTGAGAGTAAAGAATGGAGAAATGGAGAAAAGGTGTGAGAATATTGATAATTTAAAAGGAAGAGGAAAAGAAAAGAACAAAGAGTTTGAGATGGGTAAGGGTTGGAGGATATTGCTAATTTCAAATGTGAGAAAGAATGGAGAAATCAAGGGTGTGAGAATATTGATAATTTAAAAGGAAGAGGAAAAGAAAGAACAAAGAGTTTGAGATGGGTAAGGGTTGGAGGATATTGCTAATTTCAAATGTGAGAAAGAATGGAGAAATCAAAGAATATTGTGAGAATATTGATAATTTGAGAGAAAAAAGGAAGAGGATAATTTAAAAAAAGAAAGAAAAAGAAAAGAGTTTGAGATGGGTAAGGGTTGGAGGATATTGCTAATTTCAAATGTGAGAAAGAATGGAGAAATCAAGGTGTGAGAATATTGATAATTTAAAAAGGAAGAGGAAAAGAAAGAACAAAGAGTTTGAGAGGATTGCTAATTTCAAATGAGAAAGAATGGAAAATCAAAGGTGTGAGAATATTGATAATTTAAAAGGAAGAGGAAAAGAAAGAACAAAAGAGTTTGAGATGGGTAAGGGTTGGAGGATATTGCTAATTTCAAATGTGAGAAAGAATGGAGAAAGCAAAGGGTGAGAATATTGATAATTTAAAAAAGGAAGAGGAAAAGAAAGAACAAAAGAGTTTGAGATGGGTAAGGGTTGGAGGATATTGCTAATTTCAAATGTGAGAAAGAATGGAGAAAGCAAGGGTGTGAGAATATTGATAATTTAAAAAAGGAAGAGGAAAAAGAAAGAACAAAGAGTTTGAGATGGGTAAGGGTTGGAGGATATTGCTAATTTCAAATGTGAGAAAGAATGGAGATTGAAATTTAAAAAGGAAGAGGAAAAGAAAAGAACAAACAGTTTGAGAATATTGAGGAGAAATTTGAAAAAAGGAAGAGGAAAAGAAAGGAAAAGAAAGAGTTTGAGATGGGTAAGGGTTGGAGGATATTGCTAATTTCAAATGTGAGAAAGAATGGAGAAAGAACAAATGGGTGTGAGAATATTGAAAATAATGGAAAAAAAAGGAAGAGGAAAAAGAAAGAACAAAGAGTTTGAGATGGGTAAGGGTTGGAGGATATTGCTAATTTCAAATGTGAGAAAGAATGGAGAAAAGCAAAGGTGTGAGAATATTGATAATTTAAAAGGAAGAGGAAAAGAAAGAACAAAGAGTTTGAGATGGGTAAGGGTTGGAGGATATTGATTTCAAATGTGAGAAAGAATGGAGAAATCAAAAGAATATTGATAATTTAAAAAGGAAGAGGAAAAGAAAGAACAAAGAGTTTGAGATGGGTAAGGGTTGGAGGATATTGCTAATTTCAAATGTGAGAAAGAATGGAGAAAGCAAGGGTGTGAGAATATTGATAATTTAAAAAGGAAGAGGAAAAGAAAGAACAAAGAGTTTGAGATGGGTAAGGGTTGGAGGATATTGCTAATTTCAAATGTGAGAAAGAATGGAGAAAGCAAAGGTGTGAGAATATTGATAATTTAAAAAGGAAGAGGAAAAGAAAGAACAAAGAGTTTGAGATGGGTAAGGGTTGGAGGATATTGCTAATTTCAAATGTGAGAAAGAATGGAGAAATCAAGGGTGTGAGAATATTGATAATTTAAAAAGGAAGAGGAAAAGAAAGAACAAAGAGTTTGAGATGGGTAAGGGTTGGAGGATATTGCTAATTTCAAATGTGAGAAAGAATGGAGAAAGCAAAGGTGTGAGAATATTGATAATTTAAAAAGGAAGAGGAAAAGAAAGAACAAAGAGTTTGAGATGGGTAAGGGTTGGAGGATAATTTCAAATGTGAGAAAGAATGGAGAAATCAAGGGTGTGAGAATATTGATAATTTAAAAAGGAAGAGGAAAAGAAAGAACAAAGAGTTTGAGATGGGTAAGGGTTGGAGGATATTGCTAATTTCAAATGTGAGAAAAGAATGGAGAAATCAAGGGTGTGAGAATATTGATAATTTAAAAAGGGAAGGGAAAGAAAAGAACAAAGAGTTTGAGATGGAAAAGGGTTGGAGGATATTGCTAATTTCAAATGTGAGAAAGAATGGAGAAAATCAAGGGTGGGAATATTGATAATTTAAAAAGGAAGAGGAAAAAAAAGAACAAAGAGTTTGAGAAAGGGTTGGAGGAATTGCTAATTTCAAATGTGAAAAGAGAAATCAAAGAATATTGATAATTTAAAAAGGAAGAGGAAAAAGAAAGAACAAAGAGTTTGAGATGGGTAAGGGTTGGAGGATATTGCTAATTTCAAATGTGAGAAAGAATGGAGAAATCAAGGGTGGAGAATATTGATAATTTAAAAGGAAGAGGAAAAGAAAGAACAAAGAGTTTGAGATGGGTAAGGGTTGGAGGATATTGCTAATTTCAAATGTGAGAAAGAATGGAGAAAGCAAGGGTGTGAGAATATTGATTTAAAAAGGAAGAGGAAAAGAAAGAACAAAGAGTTTGAGATGGGTAAGGGTTGGAGGAAAAATTTCAAATGTGAGAAAAAGAATGGAGAAAGAACAAGGATGTGAGAATATTGATAATTTAAAAGGAAAGGAAAAGAAAGAACAAAAGAGTTTGAGATGGGAAAAAAGGGTTGGAGGATATTGCTAATTTCAAATGTGAGAAAGAATGGAGAAATAAAAGGGAGAATGAGAAGTTTGAGAAAAGAATTTAAAAATGGAAAGAATGGAGAAAAAGGAAAAGAAAAAATTTAAAAGGAAGAGAAAAGAAAGAACAAAGAAAGATGGGTAAGGGTTGGAGGATATTGCTAATTTCAAATGTGAGAAAAGAATGGAGAAAGCAAGGGTGTGAGAATATTGATAATTTAAAAAGGAAGAGGAAAAAAGAAAGAACAAAGAGTTTGAGATGGGTAAGGTTGGAGGATATTGAAAATTTCAAATGTGAGAAAGAATGGAGAAAAAAGAAGAGAATATTGATAATTAAAAAAAAAGGAAAAGAGGAAAAAGAGTTTGAAAGGAACAAAAAGTTTGAAAGATGGGAAATCAAGGGTGTGAGTTGAAAGAGTTTGAGATAATTGGAGGATATTAATTTCAAATGTGAGAAAGAATGGAGAAAACAAGGGTGTGAGAATATTGATAATTTAAAAGGAAGAGGAAAAGAAAGAACAAAAAGAGTTTGAGATGGGAATGGAGAAATCAAGGGTGGAGAATATTGATAATTTAAAAAGGAAAGGTGAGAAAGATGGGTAATGGAGGAAATGAGAAAGAATGAGTGTGAGAATATTGATAATTTAAAAGGAAGAGGAAAAGAAAGAACAAAGAGTTTGAGATGGGTAAGGGTTGGAGGATATTGCTAATTTCAAATGTGAGAAAGAATGGAGAAATCAAGGGTGTGAGAATATTGATAATTAAAAAGGAAGAGGAAAAGAAAGAACAAAAGAGTTTGAGATGGGTAAGGGTTGGGTTGAGAAAGAAGAGAAAGCAAAGGTGTGAGAATATTTAATTTAAAAAAGGAAGAGAGAAAGAAAGAACAAAAGTTTGAGATGGGTAAGGTTGGAGGAAATTTCAAATGTGAGAAAGAATGGAGAAATTTGGAGAAATTGATAATTTAAAAGGAAGAGGAAAAGAAAGAACAAAAGAGTTTGAGATGGGAAAGGGGTTGGAGGATATTGCTAATTTCAAATGTGAGAAAGAATGGAGAAATCAAGGGTGTGAGAATATTGATAATTTAAAAAGGAAGAGGAAAAGAAAGAACAAAAGAGTTTGAGATGGGTAAGGTTGGAGGATATTGCTAATTTCAAATGTGAGAAAGAATGGAGAAATCAAGGGTGTGAGAATATTGATAATTTAAAAGGAAGAGGAAAAGAAAGAACAAAAGAGTTTGAGATGGGTAAGGGTTGGAGGATATTGCTAATTTCAAATGAGAAAGAAATGGAGAAAAAAGAATGGAAAATTGATAATTTAAAAGGAAGGAAAAGAAAAGAACAAAGAGTTTGAGAAGGGTTGGAGGATAATTTCAAATGAAGAGGAGAAAGAATGGAGAAAAAGGGTGTGAGAATATTGATTAATTAAAAAGGAAGAGGAAAAAGAAAGAACAAAGAGTTTGAGATGGGTAAGGTTGGAGGATATTGCTAATTTCAAATGTGAGAAAGAATGGAGAAAAAGGTGTGAGAAATTGAATTTGGAGAACAAAAGTTTGAGAAAGGTTGGAGGATATTGCTAATTTCAAATGTGAAAAGAATGGAGAAATTGAATAATTTAAAAGGAAGAGGAAAAAGAAAGAACAAAAAGAGTTTGAGATGGGTAAGGGTTGGAGGATATTGCTAATTTCAAATGTGAGAAAGAATGGAGAAATCAAGGGTGTGAGAATATTGATAATTTAAAAAGGAAGAGGAAAAGAAAGAACAAAAGAGTTTGAGATGGGTAAGGGTTGGAGGATATTGCTAATTTCAAATGTGAGAAAGAATGGAGAAATCAAGGTGTGAGAAATTGATAATTTAAAAGGAAGAGGAAAAGAAAGAACAAAGAGGTTTGAGATGGGTAAGGGTTGGAGGATATTGCTAATTTCAAATGTGAGAAAGAATGGAGAAATCAAGGGTGTGAGAATATTGATAATTTAAAAAGGAAAGAGGAAAAAAGAACAAAGAGTTTGAGATGGGTAAGGGTTGGAGGATATTGCTAATTTCAAATGTGAGAAAGAATGGAGAAATCAAGGGTGTGAGAATATTGATAATTTAAAAAAGGAAGAGGAAAAGAAAGAACAAAAGAGTTTGAGATAATGGAACAAAGAGTTTGGATTGGAGGATATTGCTAATTTCAAATGTGAGAAAGAATGGAGAAATCAAGGGTGTGAGAATATTGATAATTTAAAAGGAAGAGGAAAAGAAAGAACAAAGAGTTTGAGATGGGTAAGGGTTGGAGGATATTACTAATTTCAAATGTGAGAAAGAATGGAGAAATCAAAGGGTGAGAATATTGATAATTTAAAAGGAAGAGGAAAAGAAAGAACAAAGAGTTTGAGATGGGTAGGGTTGGAGGATATTACTAATTTCAAATGTGAAAGATGGGAAATCAAATGAGAATATTGATTATTTAAAAAGGAAGAGGAAAAGAAAGAAACAAAGTTTGAGATGAGAAATTGTTACTTAATTTCAAATGAGAAAGGAAATCAAAGGGTGTGAGAATATTGATAATTTAAAAGGAAGAGGAAAAGAAAGAACAAAGAGTTTGAGATGGGTAAGGGTTGGAGGATATTGCTAATTTCAAATGAGAAAGAATGGAGAAATCAAGGGTGTGAGAATATTGATAATTTAAAAAAGGAAGAGGAAAAGAAAGAGAAAAGAACAAAGAGTTTGAATTTCAAATGGGAAAGAAGGGTTGAGGATATTGATAATTTCAAAGGTGAGAAAGAATGGAGAAATCAAGGGTGTGAGAATATGTGAGATTATTTAAAAAGGAAGAGGAAAAAGAAAGAACAAAAGAGTTTGAGATGGGTAAGGGTTGGAGGATATTGCTAATTTAAAAATGAGAAAGAATGGAGAAATCAAGGTGTGAGAATATTGATAGGAAAAAAGGGAAGAGGAAAAGAAAGAACAAAAGAGTTTGAGATGGGTAGGGTTGGAGGATATTGCTAATTTCAAATGTGAGAAAGAATGAGAAAGAAAGGGTGTGAGAATATTGATAATTTAAAAGGAAGAGGAAAAGAAAGAACAAAAGAGTTTGAGATGGGTAAGGTTGGAGGATATTGCTAATTTCAAATGTGAGAAAGAATGGAGAAATCAAAGGGTGTGAGAATATTGATAATTTAAAAAGGAAGAGGAAAAGAAAGAACAAACAGTTTGAGATGGGTAAGGGTTGGAGGATATTGCTAATTTCAAATGTGAGAAAGAATGAGAAATCAAGGGGTGTGAGAATATTGATAATTTAAAAAGGAAGAGGAAAAGAAAAGAACAAAGAGTTTGAGATGGGTAAGGGTTGGAGGATATTGCTAATTTCAAATGTGAGAAAGAATGGAGAAATCAAGGGTGTGAGAATATTGATAATTTAAAAGGAAGAGGAAAAGAAAGAACAAAGAGTTTGAGATGGGTAAGGGTTGGAGGATATTGCTAATTTCAAATGTGAGAAAGAATGGAGAAATCAAGGGTGTGAGAATATTGATAATTTAAAAAGGAAGAGGAAAAGAAAGAACAAAGAGTTTGAGATGGGTAAGGGTTGGAGGATATTGCTAATTTCAAATGTGAAAGAATGGAGAAAAGGGTGTGAGAATATTGAAATTTAAAAGGAAGAGGAAAAGAAAGAACAAAGAGTTTGAGATGGGTAAAATGGAGGATATGATAATTTCAAATGTGAGAAAGAAAAGAAAATCAAAGAGAATATTGATAACGAAAAAAAAGGAAAGAAAGAACAAAGAGTTTGAGATGGGTAAGGGTTGGAGGATATTGCTAATTTCAAATGTGAGAAAGAATGGAGAAATCAAGGGTGTGAGGTGATAATTTAAGGAAGAGGAAAAGAAAAGAACAAAGAGTTTGAATAGGGTTGGAGGATATAATTTGGAAAAAAAGGAAGAGGAAAAAGAAAAAACAAAGAGTTTGAGATGGGTAAGGTTGGAGGATATTGCTAATTTCAAATGTGAGAAGAATGGAAAAGAATGGGAAATCAAAAGTGAAAAGGAAAAGAATATTGATAATTTAAAAGGAAGAGGAAAAAGAAAGAACAAAGAGTTTGAGATGGGTAAGGGGTTGGAGGATATTGCTAATTTCAATGTGAGAAAGAAAAAGAAATATTGAATGGAAGAGGAAAAGAAAGAACAAAAAGTTTGAGATGGGTAAGGGTTGGAATATTGATAATTTCAAATGTGAAAAATGGGAAAAGGGTGAGAATATTGATAATTTAAAAAGGAAGAGGAAAAAAAAGAACAAAGAGTTTGAGATGGGTAAGGGTTGGAGGATATTACTAATTTCAAATGTGAGAAAGAATGGAGAAATCAAAGAATATTGAGAAATTTAAAAGGAAAGGAAAAGAAAAGAAAAAGAGTTTGAGAAAGGGGTTGGAGGATATTGCTAATGAGAAAGAATGGAGAAATCAAAAGAATATTGATAATTTAAAAAAGGAAGAGGAAAAGAAAGAACAAAGAGTTTGAGATGGGTAAGGGTTGGAGGATATTGCTAATTTCAAATGTGAGAAAGAATGGAGAAAAAGCAAGGGTGTGAGAATATTGATAATTTAAAAAGGAAGAGGAAAAGAAAGAACAAAAGAGTTTGAGATGGGAAAGGGTTGGAGGATATTGCTAATTTCAAATGTGAGAAAGAATGGAGAAATCAAGGTGTGAGAATATTGATAATTTAAAAGGAAGAGGAAAAGAAAAACAAAGAGTTTGAGATGGGTAAGGGTTGGAGGATATTGCTAATTTCAAAAATGAGAAAGAATGGAGAAATCAAGGGTGAGAATATTGATAATTTAAAAGGAAGAGGAAAAGAAAGAACAAAGAGTTTGAGATGGGTAAGGGTTGGAGGATATTGCTAATTTCAAATGTGAAAGAATGGAGAAAGCAAGGGTGTGAGAATATTGATAATTTAAAAGGAAGAGGAAAAGAAAGAACAAAAGAGTTTGAGATGGGTAAGGGTTGGAGGATATTACATTTCAAATGTGAGAAAGAATGGAGAAATCAAGGGTGTGAGAATATTGATAATTTAAAAGGAAGAGGAAAAGAAAGAACAAAGAGTTTGAGATGGGTAAGGGTTGGAGGATATTGCTAATTTCAAATGTGAGAAAGAATGGAGAAATCAAGGTGTGAGAATATTGATAATTTAAAAAAGGAAGAGGAAAAGAAAGAACAAAGAGTTTGAGATGGGTAAGGGTTGGAGGATATTGCTAATTTCAAATGTGAGAAAGAATGGAGAAATCAAGGGTGTGAGAATATTGATAATTTAAAAGGAAGAGGAAAAGAAAGAACAAAAGAGTTTGAGATGGGTAAGGGTTGAGGATATTGCTAATTTCAAATGTGAGAAAAAGAATGGAGAAATCAAGGGTGTGAGAATATTGATAATTTAAAAAGGAAGAGGAAAAGAAAGAACAAAGAGTTTGAGAGGGGTTGAGGGTCAAATGTGAAAAAATGGGAGGATATTGAGAATTTCAAATGAAAGAAAAGAACAAAAGTTTGAATGGAGGAAATTTCAAATGTGAGAAAGAATGGAGAAAGCAATTGAGATTGATAATTTAAAAAGGAAGAGGAAAAGAAAGAACAAAGAGTTTGAGATGGGTAAGGGTTGGAGGATATTGCTAATTTCAAATGTGAGAAAGAATGGAGAAATCAAGGGTGTGAGAATATTGATAATTTAAAAAGGAAGAGGAAAAGAAAGAACAAAGAGTTTGAGATGGGTAAGGGTTGGAGGATATTGCTAATTTCAAATGTGAGAAAGAATGGAGAAAATCAAGGGTGTGAGAATATTGATAATTTAAAAGGAAGAGGAAAAAGAAAGAACAAAGAGTTTGAGATGGGTAGGGTTGGAGGAAGGAAAACTAATTTCAAAAGTGAGAAAAATCAAGAAAGCAGGAGAATATTGATAATTTAAAAGGAAGAGGAAAAGAAAGAACAAAGAGTTTGAGATGGGTAAGGGTTGGAGGATATTGAATTTCAAATGTGAGAAAGAATGGAGAAAGCAAAGGGTGTGAGAATATTGATAATTTAAAAAGGAAGAGGAAAAGAAAGAACAAAAGTTTGAGATGGGTTTGGAGGATATTGCTAATTTCAAATGTGAGAAAGAATGGAGAAATTGGAGAATATTGATAATTTAAAAGGAAGAGGAAAAAGAAAGAAGAGAGAAATGGGTAAGGGTTGGAGGATATTGCTAATTTCAAATGTGAGAAAGAAGGAAGGGTGTGAGAATATTGATAATTTAAAAAGGAAAGGAAAAGAAAAACAAAGAGTTTGAGATGGGTAAGGGTTGGAGGATATTACAATTTCAAATGTGAGAAAGAATTGGAGAATATTGATAATTTAAAAAGGAAAGGAAAAGAAAAGAACAAAGAGTTTGAGATGGGTAAGGTTGGAGGATATTGCTAATTTCAAATGTGAGAAAGAATGGAGAAATCAAGTGTGAGAATATTGATTATTTAAAAAGGAAGAGGAAAAGAAAGAACAAAGAGTTTGAGATGGGTAAGGGTTGGAGGATATTGCTAATTTCAAATGTGAGAAAGAATGGAGAAAGCAAAGGTGTGAGAATATTGATTATTTAAAAAGGAAGAGGAAAAGAAAGAACAAAAGAGTTTGAGATGGGTAAGGGTTGGAGGAAATTGCTAATTTCAAATGTGAGAAAGAATGGAGAAAAAGAAAGGGTGTGAGAATATTGATAATTTAAAAAGGAAGAGGAAAAGAAAGAACAAAAGAGTTTGAGATGGGTAAGGGTTGGAGGATATTGCTAATTTCAAATGTGAGAAAGAATGAGAAATCAAGGGTGTGAGAATATTGATAATTTAAAAGGAAGAGGAAAAGAAAGAACAAAAGAGTTTGAGATGGGTAAGGGTTGGAGGATATTGCTAATTTCAAATGTGAGAAAGAATGGAGAAATCAAGGGTGTGAGAATATTGATAATTTAAAAGGAAGAGGAAAAGAAAGAACAAAGAGTTTGAGATGGGAGGATATTGCTAATTTCAAATGTGAGAAAGAATGGAGAAATCAAGGGTGTGAGAATATTGATAATTTAAAAAAGGAAAGGAAAAGAAACAAAGAGTTTGAGATGGGTAAGGGTTGGAGGATATTACTAATCAAATGTGAGAAAAAATGTGAGAAAGAATGGAGAAAGAAAGGTGTGAGAATATTGATAATTTGAGAAAAAAGGAAGAGGAAAAGAAAGAACAAAGAGTTTGAGATGGGTAAGGGTTGGAGGATATTGCTAATTTCAAATGTGAGAAAGAATGGAGAAAGTGAGAATATTGATAATTTAAAAAAGGAAGAGGAAAAGAAAGAACAAAGAGTTTGAGATGGGTGTTGGAGGAGAATTTCAAATGTGAGAAAGAATGGAGAGGGTGTGAGAATATTGATAAAAAAGGAAGAGGAAAAGAAAGAACAAAGAGTTTGAGATGGGTAAGGGTTGGAGGATATTGCTAATTTCAAATGTGAGAAAGAATGGAGAAATCAAGGGGTGTGAGAATATTGATAATTTAAAAAGGAAGAGGAAAAGAAAGAACAAAGAGTTTGAGATGGGTAAGGGTTGGAGGATCAAGGTGTGAGAATATTGATAATTTAAAAAGGAAGAGGAAAAGAATGGACAAAAGTTTGAATGGGTAAGGGTTGAGAATATTGATAATTGAGAAAGAAGGAAAGAGGAAAAGAAAAGAAAAGAACAAAGAGTTTGAGATGGGTAAGGGTTGGAGGATATTGCTAATTTCAAATGTGAGAAAGAATGGAGAAATCAAGGGTGTGAGAATATTGATAATTTAAAAAGGAAGAGGAAAAGAAAGAACAAAGAGTTTGAGATGGGTAAGGGTTGGAGGATATTGATAATTTAAAATGTGAGAAAAGAAATGGAGAAATCAAAGATGTGTTGAGAATATTGCTAATTTGAGAATATTGATGCTAATTAAAGGAAGAGGAAAAAAGGAAGAGAAATAATTTCAAATTGAGAAAAAAAGAATAAAAGAAAGAACAAAAGAGTTTGAGATGGGTAAGGGTTGGAGGATATTGCTAATTTCAAATGTGAGAAAGAATGGAGAAATCAAGGGGTGTGAGAATATTGATAATTTAAAAAGGAAGAGGAAAAGAAAGAACAAAGAGTTTGAGATGGGTAAGGGTTGGAGGATATTGCTAATTTCAAATGTGAAAGAAAGAAATGGAGAAATGATAATTTAGGTGTGAGAATATTGATTATTTAAAAAGGAAGAATGGAAAAGAAAGAATAAAGAGTTTGAGATGGGAAAAGGTTGAATAAAGAGTTTGAGATGGGTAAGGGGTTGGAAATGTGAAGAATTTAAATGGAGAAATCAAGGTGTGAGAATATTGATTATTTAAAAAGAAGAGGAAAAGAAAAAACAAAGAGTTTGAGATGGGTAAGGGTTGGAGGATTATTTCAAATGTGAAGAATGGAGAAATCAAGAGAATATTGATAATTTAAAAGGAAGAGGGAAAAGAACAAAGAGTTTGAGATGGGTAAGGGTTGGAGGATATTGCTAATTTCAAATGTGAGAAAGAATGGAGAAATCAAGGGTGTGAGAATATTGATAATTTAAAAAGGAAGAGGAAAAGAAAAAGAAACAAAGAGTTTGAGATGGGTAAGGGTTGGAGGATATTGCTAATTTCAAATGTGAGAAAGAATGGAGAAATCAAGGGTTTGAGAGAATATTGATTAATTTCAAAAAAAGGAAGAGGAAAAGAAAGAACAAAGAGTTTGAGATGGGTAAGGGTTGGAGGATATTGCTAATTTCAAATGTGAGAAAGAATGGAGAAATCAAGTGTGAGAATATTGATTATTTAAAAAGGAAGAGGAAAAGAAAAACAAAGAGTTTGAGATGGGTAAGGAGAGGATATTGCTAATTTCAAATGTGAGAAAGAATGGAGAAAAGGGTGTGAGAATATTGATAATTTAAAAAGGAAAGGAAAAGAAAGAACAAAAAAGAGTTTGAGATGGGTAAGGGTTGGAGGATATTACAATTTCAAATGTGAGAAAGAATGGAGAAATCAAGGGTGTGAGAATATTGATTATTTAAAAGGAAGAGGAAAAAGAAAGAACAAAGAGTTTGAGATGGGTAAAGGGTTGGAGGATATTGCTAATTTCAAATGTGAGAAAGAATGGAGAAATCAAGGGTGTGAGAATATTGATAATTTAAAAAGGAAGAGGAAAAGAAAGAACAAAGAGTTTGAGATGGGAGATGGGTAAGGGTTGGAGGATATTGCTAATTTCAAATGTGAGAAAGAATGGAGAAAAAAAGAACAAAAGGTTTTGAGATGAGAATATTGATAATTTAAAAAAGGAAGAGGAAAAGAAAGAACAAAGAGTTTGAGATGGGTAAGGGTTGGAGGATATTGCTAATTTCAAATGTGAGAAAGAATGGAGAAATCAAGGGTGTGAGAATATTGATAATTTAAAAGGAAGAGAAAAAAGAAAGAACAAAGAGTTTGAGATGGGTAAGGGTTGGAGGATATTGCTAATTTCAAATGTGAGAAAGAATGGAGAAATCAAGGGTGTGAGAATATTGATAATTTAAAAAGGAAGAGGAAAAGAAAGAACAAAGAGTTTGAGATGGGTAAGGGTTGGAGGATATTGCTAATTTCAAATGTGAGAAAAGAATGGAGAAATCAAAGGGTGTGAGAATATTGATAATTTAAAAAGGAAGAGGAAAAGAAAAAACAAAGAGTTTGAGATGGGTAAGGGTTGGAGGATATTGCTAATTTCAAATGTGAGAAAGAATGGAGAAATCAAGGGTGTGAGAATATTGATTATTTAAAAGGAAGAGGAAAAGAAAGAACAAAGAGTTTGAGATGGGTAAGGGTTGGAGGATATTGCTAATTTCAAATGTGAGAAAGAATGGAGAAATCAAGGGTGTGAGAATATTGATTATTTAAAAGGAAGAGGAAAAAGAAAAACAAAGAGTTTGAGATGGGTAAAAGGAGTACTAATTTCAAATGTGAAAGAATGGAGAAATCAAGGTGTGAGAATATTGATAATTTAAAAGGAAGAGGAAAGAAAGAGTTTGAGAAAGGGTTGGAGGATATTGCTAATTTCAAATGTGAGAAAGAATGGAGAAAAATTGATGTGAGAATTTGATAATTTAAAAGGAAAGAGGAAAAGAAAGAACAAAGAGTTTGAGATGGGTAAGGGTTGGAGGATATTGCTAATTTCAAATGTGAGAAAGAATGGAGAAATCAAGGGTGTGAGAATATTGATTATTTAAAAGGAAGAGGAAAAAAAGAACAAAGAGTTTGAGATGGGTAAGGGTTGGAGGATATTGCTAATTTCAAATGTGAGAAAGAATGGAGAAATCAAGGTGTGTGAGAATATTGATTATTTAAAAAGGAAGAGGAAAAGAAAGAACAAAAGAGTTTGAGATGGGTAAGGGTTGGAGGATATTGCTAATTTCAAATGTGAGAAAGAATGGAGAAATCAAGTGTGGGTAAAAGGAAGGAAAAGAAAGAACAAAGAGTTTGAGAATATTGATCAAATTTAAAATGAGGAAGAGGATAATTTAAAAAGAAAAGAAGAAAGAGTTTGAGATGGGTAAGGGTTGGAGGATATTGCTAATTTCAAATGTGAGAAAGAATGGAGAAATCAAGGGTGTGAGAATATTGATTATTTAAAAGGAAGAGGAAAAGAAAGAACAAAGAGTTTGAGATGGGTAAGGGTTGGAGGATATTGCTAATTTCAAATGTGAGAAAGAATGGAGAAATCAAGGGTGTGAGAATATTGATTATTTAAAAAGGAAGAGGAAAAGAAAGAACAAAGAGTTTGAGATGGGTAAGGGTTGGAGGATATTGCTAATTTCAAATGTGAGAAAGAATGGAGAAATAAAAAGGAAAGGAAAAGAAAGAACAAAAGAGTGAGAATATTGATAATTTAAAAAGGAAGAGATAATTTAAAAAAAAGAAAAAAGAACAAAGAGTTTGAGATGGGTAAGGGTTGGAGGATATTGCTAATTTCAAATGTGAGAAAGAATGGAGAAATCAAGGGTGTGAGAATATTGATTATTTAAAAAGGAAGAGGAAAAAGAAAGAACAAAAAGAGTTTGAGATGGGTAAGGGTTGGAGGATATTGCTAATTTCAAATGTGAGAAAGAATGGAGAAATCAAGGGTGTGAGAATATTGATAATTTAAAAAGGAAGAGGAAAAGAAAGAACAAAGAGTTTGAGATGGGTAAGGGTTGGAGGATATTGCTAATTTCAAATGTGAGAAAGAATGGAGAAATCAAGGGTGTGAGAATATTGATAATTTAAAAATAAGAGGAAAAAGAAAGAACAAAGAGTTTGAGATGGGTAAGGGTTGGAGGATATTGCTAATTTCAAATGTGAGAAAGAATGGAGAAATCAAAGGGTGTGAGAATATTGATTATTTAAAAAAAGGAAAGAAAAGAACAAAGAAGAAGGGGTTGGAATATTGCTAATTTTTGAGATGGGTCAAGGGTTGAGAATATTGATAATTTAAAAGGAAAGAGGAAAGAAAAGAACAAATTTGAGATGGGTAAGAATGGAGAAATCAAATGTGAGGAATGTGAGAATATTGATTATTTAAAAAAAAGAAAAAGAAAGAACAAAGAGTTTGAGATGGGTAAGGGTTGGAGGATATTGCTAATTTCAAATGTGAGAAAGAATGGAGAAATCAAGGGTGTGAGAATATTGATAATTTAAAAGGAAGAGGAAAAGAAAGAACAAAGAGTTTGAGATGGGTAAGGATATTGCTAATTTCAAATTGGATGGGATCAAGGGTGTGAGAATATTGATTATTTCAAATGTGAGAACAAAAAGAATGGAGGAAATCAATGTGAGGAATGTGAGAATATTGATAATTTAAAAAAGGAAGAGGAAAAGAAAGAACAAAGAGTTTGAGATGGGTAAGGGTTGGAGGATATTGCTAATTTCAAATGTGAGAAAGAATGAGAAAGAGTTTCAAGGGTGTTGGAGAATAATTTTCAAATTTGAGAAAAAGGAAGAGGAAGAAAAGAAAGAACAAAGAGTTTGAGATGGGTAAGGGTTGGAGGATATTGCTAATTTCAAATGTGAGAAAGAATGGAGAAATCAAGGGTGTGAGAATATTGATAATTTAAAAGGAAGAGGAAAAAAAAAGAACAAAGAGTTTGAGATGGGTAAGGGTTGGAGGATATTGCTAATTTCAAATGTGAGAAGAATGAGTGAGAAGGAAGAGAAAAAAGAATGGAGAAATCAAATGTGGTGTGAGAATATTGATAATTTAAAAGGAAGAGGAAAAGAAAGAACAAAGAGTTTGAGATGGGTAAGGGTTGGAGGATATTGCTAATTTCAAATGTGAGAAAGAATGGAGAAATCAAGGGGTGTGAGAATATTGATAATTTAAAAGGAAGAGGAAAAGGAAAAGAACAAAAGATTTTGAGATGGGTAAGGGTTGGAGGATATTGCTAATTTCAAATGTGAGAAAGAATGGAGAAATCAAGGGTGTGAGAATATTGATTATTTAAAAAGGAAGAGGAAAAGAAAGAACAAAGAGTTTGAGATGGGTAAGGGTTGGAGGATATTGCTAATTTCAAATGTGAGAAAGAATGGAGAAATCAAGGGTGTGAGAATATTGATAATTTAAAAAGGAAGAGGAAAAGAAAGAACAAAGAGTTTGAGATGGGTAAGGGTTGGAGGATATTGCTAATTTCAAATGTGAGAGAAAGAATGGAGAAATCAAGGTTGTGAGAATATTGATTATTTAAAAAGGAAGAGGAAAAAGAAAGAACAAAAGAGTTTGAGATGGGTAAGGGTTGGAGGATATTGCTAATTTCAAATGTGAGAAAGAATGGAGAAATCAAGGGTGTGAGAATATTGATAATTTAAAAAGGAAGAGGAAAAGAAAGAACAAAGAGTTTGAGATGGGTAAGGGTTGGAGGATATTGCTAATTTCAAATGTGAGAAAGAATGGAGAAATCAAGGGTGTGAGAATATTGATTATTTAAAAAGGAAGAGGAAAAGAAAGAACAAAGAGTTTGAGATGGGTAAGGGTTGGAGGATATTGCTAATTTCAAATGTGAGAAAGAATGGAGAAATCAAGGGTGTGAGAATATTGATAATTTAAAAGGAAGAGGAAAAGAAAGAACAAAAGTTTGAGATGGGTAAGGGTTGGAGGATATTGCTAATTTCAAAAAGAAAAATGGAGAAACAAGGGTGTGAGAATATTGATAATTTAAAAAGGAAGAGGAAAAGAAAAGAACAAAGAGTTTGAGATGGGTAAGGGTTGGAGGATATTGCTAATTTCAAATGTGAGAAAGAATGGAGAAATCAAGGGTGTGAGAATATTGATAATTTAAAAAGGAAAGAAAAGAAAGAAAAAAAAAAGAGTTTGAGATGGGTAAGGGTTGGAGGATATTGCTAATTTCAAATGTGAGAAAGAATGGAGAAATCAAGGGTGTGAGAATATTGATAATTTAAAAAGGAAGAGGAAAAGAAAGAACAAAGAGTTTGAGATGGGTAAGGGTTGGAGGATATTGCTAATTTCAAATGTGAGAAAGAATGGAGAAATCAAGGGTGTGAGAATATTGATAATTTAAAAAGGAAGAGGAAAAGAAAGAACAAAGATTTTGAGATGGGTAAGGGTTGGAGGATATTGCTAATTTCAAATGTGAGAAAGAATGGAGAAATCAAGGGTGTGAGAATATTGATTATTTAAAAAGGAAGAGGAAAAGAAAGAACAAAGAGTGTCAGATGGGTAAGGGTTGATGAAAATGAGAGAGAGAAAAAGAGAGTTGATAATAAAATATAAGATAGAAAAAAGAGAGGAAGAGCTAAAGGATGAGTTGTTATGATGTTATACCTTAGCCCTAACCTTAAATGTTGTAATGAAAATGCTTAAGGTTTTATGCCAGTTATAATGTTGGATCTATTACCAATGTTATACAGAGGGTCATATTAAATTGGATCATTGACCCGTAGATTATGGTGGGCTTTCTCATGTGGCCAGTGCCATCAGAACATTATGTGGGTGATGAGGATGTTGATGGTTATTGGGGAAACAGGTGTGCATATGACAGTAAGAAACAAAGGCCATGTTGGAAAAAAAATGGAATGACAAAATCTGAAATAAAATCAATTATATTACCAAAACTACAAATGGTTATCTCAAATAAATGTGATTAAGAAATGCCTTATGAAAATCAATCTCTCTTTATTGAAAGGTGTTTATGGGTTGGGGACTGACTGACATTCATGGTTGTAGTTAAGTCTTTTGATATCGGACCCAGTGTATTATTGGGAGGAATGAGAAAGTCATAATGGTGAACTCCATGTGAAAATGTAAACTACTGCCTGTTGCTGAAAATTTGCCTGGTCTCATATTGTGTGTCTTGAGCTAAACTTAGTATTCTGCTTTTGCATTTTGATTTATAAACCTGCACATTTATAAACAAGTTTTATAAACAAGTTTTATAAATGTACACTTGTTTCTGGGGCTCAACTCAGCATTCTGTTTTTGCATTTTGAGTTATAAACCCATACATTTATGAACAAGTTTTATAAATGATTTTTATAAACATACACTCATTTCTGGGGCTCAAATCTGCATTTTGTTTTTGCGTTTTAATTTATAAACTTGCACATTTATAAACAAGTACTATAAACAAGTTTTATAAACAAGTTTTATAAACGTACATTTGTTTCTAGGGCTCAGCTCAGCAATTTTTTTGCATTTTGATTTATAAACGGGCACATTTATAAACAAATTTTATATACAAGTTTTATAAACAAGTTTTATAAACATACACTTGTTTCTTGGGCTCAACTCAACATTCTGTTTTTGCATTTTGATTTAGGCGGCAATGTCAGTAATTGGATGATAATTTAAATTTTAAATGTATTTTTTGTTTTTGAATCAGAAGTGGTGCATGGAGACATGTGCAGAATAAAAATTTTTATTTATAATTTTGCTTTCGTGATGTCTTGTTGCTGATGAGTTTAACATGTCATGAATCTAGGGAGATTTGTTAGATTTGATGTAGAAAATAACTATGAGAAGAATTAGAATCAATTTTCTTTAAATTTCCTAATATTAGTTTAGTTTGGCACAAGGTCAGCAATGTGGTGCACCCAGTAAGTATCCATCTAATTTTGGCAATCTTTCAACTTCATGCTTGCAAAAAAGTGGTGTGTCAAAAAGACAGTTTTTCCCTTGATACCACTATTATTTTTACCTTCACTCCTCAACAATGTTTAGTTTTTTTAAAAGTGATGATTAAAATTTTAATAGAAAATCAATTTCTCACTGGCCTTTTGAAATTTGAAGAGACTTGGGCTCAAGAAAAATGTCTATTTTTGGCAAATTGAAAAGGTTTCATTTCCCACCACCAACAGAAGACTGCATGTTCCAAAACAGACCTTTCAGAAACTTAAATATTTGGTCCAATTATTTAGGGCATAGCAGATATAGTACAACTATTTGGGACATAGAGGAAATGGTCAAATGCTGTACCAACCTGAACAGGCTAAATTTTGTTGTACATAATAAATTTGGTCCAATCCAATTATTTTGAACATAGCAGAAATGATCCAATTATTTTGGGCATAGCAGAAATGGTCAAATGCTGTACAATACTGAATTAGCCAAATTTTGTCATACATTGCAGATTTGGTTCAATTTTAATGGTTAAGGCAGAAATTCAATTTTGGGCAGGGGTTTATTAGAATTGGTTTAGTTTTGTTGGCTGTAGCAGAAATGATCAATTTTTCTTAGGGACAACATCATTTATCATCTATTGTTATATGTGGAATATATTTAATAAAATTTCATTTGGCATTGAAGAATTGATTAAATTCCGTTGTACATGGAAGAATTAGTAAAATTTCTTTGTTTTAGCAGAACACGTTAAATTTTGTTGGACATGGCACATTAACTTAAATTTCAATTGGTATTTTACTACTGGTCAGGGTTTGTTGAACATAAAAGAACTGATCATATTTATTTGTTAAACTTTGTTAGGCATGGCAAATTTGGTTCAATTATTTTGGACATAGGTTTTGTGAGCACATTCAAATTTGAATTGTATAAAAACTAGGCATCTTTTGATGTACATCTCAAATGATATCAGGCCAAGCAGTATTGGCCAAATTTTGTTAGACATTGCAGAAATGATCATCCTGCTTTTCTCTACCTTTTCAAGAACCAGAGCAGGCTGAAATTAAAATACTGCTACCATATATGGGCAGAATTTTTACTTTCCAGTCCAATAGCATCTCTGTGTTCTTGTGACTGAGGAATTATTCTCCACCCTACAAACCCCTTTGCCATAGACAAAATGTTGTTCTTACTTCTCTATGGTTATTTCCATGGAAAGTACTCAGATGAACGAAATTCCTTAGTTCCACCAGTCTAAACCTTCACCACTAGGACCTGCCATAGCACACCCATTCTAGGGAACCATGCTACTTCCCTTCATATTCCTTTACTGAGATGTAAATTCCACTTGAGCAGTTCCTTCCCATGAAGCACAACTCCCAAGAGGATGCTTCCACCCAGTTACTACAATCTTAATCTGTTCAAGTCTAGGCTTATCATAAATACTCAAGTATAGTCCAAGTTTTTATAATCTGTACTTTACACAAAAAATAGGGGGTCACACTATACACAAGTAATTTTTTTGAAGAGGTTAAAACACATCCATTTTATAGTGACTGGTTGCAATATACACAGGTAATTTTTTGAAGGTGTTAAAACTTAGCCATTTTTGGTGACTGGTCACACTATACACAGTTAATTTATTTCAAGAAGTTAAAAATAATCCATTTTATAGTGACTGGTTGCAATATACACAGATAATTTTTTTGAAGCGATTAAAATTCATCCATTTTCAGTACTAGTTGCACTATACACATGTAATTTTTTATATATGCATTAAAATTCAAACAAAAAAATTTCAGGATACAATTATACACAAGTATATATGTGTTGTAGCATACCTACAGACATTAATAGATATGTCCCCATTCACATAAATACAGTAGTAAATACTGTATGTTGGTCTGCAGTTGGAGATCCATTGTGGAATTCACTTGACTCACTTTTAACAGATGACTACTTCTTCTATGCACTGCTGGTGAATCTTATATGTGTTGTTCTTGTCCTAAGTATTATTGTTCATTACCAACGTTTGTGTGATTATTCTATTCAGTAACCTTCCTTAGGTTATAACAATATGGAAACATTATCTTTCCCACATATCTGTACAAACTGTGCCTCTTACTCTGTAACACTACCTAGAGTAGCTCACTAGACTTGTACATGATGAACATTATTGTAAAAGAAATGAAGAAGAAATTTACTGTATTCATTTTCTATCCACATTCAGGTGGTGTGTGCCAGTATAAAAACAAAAAAAATGTTTGTGTGGATAAAAGAAGTGGACACATTTTGTTGGGCATGGCAGAATTATAAATATTCAATAAGCTACAAATAATGTTTAAACTTCAATACATCTTACTCTACAATGTTTCCATTTGGAAGCAGATTTAAACCTCCTGAGTTAAGGATAACTTTAAAACTTATTATCAGGTCACAAAGTGAAAGAGGAATACCTTAAGGGAAGCTCTTATGACGACAGCGAAAGAAATCATCCCAAGAAAATATGAACTGGATGACAGGTTAAATTCTCAATCTTATGAGAGAGAAGCAACGGATTATGTTAAGAAAAGACGTAGATATCTGATGTTAAGCAAAGAAATAAGTGCAAAAAAAGTAAAGGATTCTCAATGAGAAATATGCAGGGATAAACAAAGAAAAATGCAGAACATAGATGCAGGAGGAATGCATAAAATGAGAAAGACAATACGGGAAAAAACTTCTCTTTGGCAGGATGTATAAAATGTATAGAATGAACAACGATAATAGAGAAAGGAAAGGTATTCAGATATGGACTGAATACATCAGAGAGATCTTCCATGACAACAGAGGAGGAGAGCATAAAAACATTGAATGACCCGGAATATTAAAATCCGAGGTTATGTCAGCACCAACCAAGATGAAGAGGAACTAAACAACAGGATCATATGAGATTGTAATAGAGATTCTGACAGCCTTAGAAGATTCCAGGATTTATAAGATTACCAAAGTGATAAATGAAATATATGACAGTTGCAAAATATAGGAAAGTCTCAGTAGATCAAGCTTCATAATGCAACCAAAGATTCAAAGGTGCAAACAAATACAAACTACGATTGACATTCAGTTTGATAAGCCACATATCAAAATTAATAATTAATCTAGTAATTAAAATTCTAATGAACAGAGCTTGTAGCAGAATTATACTAAAAAAGGACAAGACCAGTGTAGCTTTGTTCAAGACAATGAAACCAGAAATACAAATTTTATTATCTAAATGTTGTCAAAGCATGCGCTAGAAAATTGCAAATTTCAGAGATTAATTTGATTTGTTTGTTTAATGGCACATCAACCCCTTATGGGTCATTCAATGCTGAAATTTAATTTTCTTGTGAGCTGTGAAGTAATAAAAAATATATGTTATTCTGCTTTCACAACTGAATCCATGGTAGATAATACTCTGCTTTTGTGCATATAAATGTTTGTGTAGGCACAATTACTAGTGGCAGTGATATGTGTGTTTTATGTTGTAGTTTTGTTGAAGCTATATTTTAGAATACCATTTGATTTCTTTAAGAAATTGTAGGATATTATATGAATTAATATTATGAAAAAGTTCTTTCGTGTTGGTTGGCTGGTTTTGTTTAGCGGCATATCAATATGTGTTATTTAATGCTGAAATATACATATTTTGAACACAATTTTATGGTTTCAACTAAATATATTTTGAATGCAATTGTATGCCTTCAACTACTGATAAAATGTATTGTTGGTTATTTTGCCATAAAAATGTATTGTTGTTCATTTTGCTATAAAAATGTATTGTTGGTCATTTTGCTATAAAATGTATTGTTGGTCATTTTGCTA